CACTAACAAATTTAAGCTGGACTTCAGCAAGATCTTTTGGGTGGCTGCAAAGACAGTATCAAATTGGCCAGGCAATATCCGTTTGCCAGAAAGTTGCCATTTGGCACCCTAAGGTTTGGCTGGCAAAAAAAGTTACCGGTCCAAAAAAGAAAGCCTGTTAACACCCCTAGAACACATAAAAGATAAGCTTATTCACTTACAATTGTAGTCGATTATTACATTTACATGTATGTGCCTTCAAGTGATGCCAAATGATGATTTTATCAGTACAGCAATGCGTCATACATTTCATGTTGTATGAAATATCTAGATCTGTGGCGGCTTTAGAATTTGCTTCTCTGATTTATCTCTCCCTTGAGTTTCCTGCTTAAGAAAAGTCCCAGACTGTATTTGCACGTATACGATATACCACAACTGATCATTATCATTCAGAGCAGTTAAAAGATTGTAAACCACTAGTCCATCAACCCTTTGCTTCATAAAATGGAGTTTATGCGATCTTAGGAGATATTCAGTAAACTGCTTACATGCTTCTAGCAAAGTAGTCATACTGATAGGTTTTCTACAACTGTCATTTTTCAGTCAGGGATGAAAAGACCTGCTGCATTTATGCAGGTTAGTGCAGGTAAAATTGGAGCTGTGCAGGTATTTCTGATGTCTACCTGCACCTAACCTGCACTGGTCCATGTACTGGGTATATGCAGGTTAGTGCAGGTAAAATTGGAGCTGTGCAGGTATTTCTGATGTCTACCTGCACCTAACCTGCACTGGTCCATGTACTGGGTATATATATGCAGGTTAGTGCAGGTAAAATTGCAGCTGTGCAGGTATTTTTGATGTCTAACTGGGATTTTCGTTATATGCCGTATTATTTGTCACCACAAAAATGGCAATGGTTTCTGAACGGTTTTTAGTGTAATCCCTGCTTCCTAAAATCTGAGTGGTTCAGGTAAAATTTTTCTAGTGCAGGTACATGTAATTTTCATTAAAAAAAAAAGGATTCCAAATCCTGATGTTTGCATCCAGCAAAGCAATCATGGTTTTACGTCGATGAAGGTTAGACATTGTAATACTATACGCCAAAAAAGCAGTTACTCAAACAACAGTTGGATATGATTTTGGAAAATACCTGCTGCATTTTTCCAAAATCATAATTATCTAGTTGCTTGAGTAACTGCTTTTGGACCAATATCATAGTTTTTTTTTTGTACCACCACTGCTGTTTTTTACTGGTGGGAAATTTCCAACTGTGCCAAGACGTGATTACGTCCTGCCAAATGCGATGAAGCATGCAGCTCACTGTTATTCCGTCCAATATGATTACTGACACCACGAGCAATAAACGGTGACCGACAACTTCCCTGGTAGTACATGTATTAGCGAACGGTAAATTGGCAATAAATGTCGCAGTCTCCTAGAACTGACTTTTCCTACGGCGCGGGAATATGTAATTTGCCACACAGATATTGCTATTAAAATGGCGGAAGAAACTGATTGGAGGAATTAGGAATGCTATATGGTAGAATTATGATAAGTATGGTACGTCGATGAAGGTTAGACTTTGAAGAACATTACATGTATGTAATACTGTTACAAAAGAAAAGTACAGTGTTCTAGCCAGCAGCATCCGTCTTTTGACAGAATTTTGTCATGGCGGACAAAAATTTTGCCCAGACAAAAATCGGCTTGCAAAGATGCGCAAAAAGATGTCATTGAACTAAGCTTAGTCTACCAGCAAAATTTGCCCCTCAAAATGCAGGAAGTGGTGATTCAAAGGGTCATGGAATTCTGTCATGGCAGACAAAAAGTTTACCCAATCCGTCATCTTTGACAGACAAAAATTGGCATGTAAAGATATGGAAAAAGATGTCATTGAACTAAGCTTAGTCTACCAGCAAAATTTGCCCCTCAAAATGCATGAAAAGTTAGTAGTGTTTCAGAGGGTCAAGATTTGAAAATTTGCTTGGGGAAGCATGCCCCTAGACTTCCTTACTATAATAGGATTGCTGTGCCTTTGGCCCTTGACATGACATTTCGTCAAACAAAATTGAAGTGACAGAACAAAATTTCAGGCTGGTTAGAACACTGCAGTGGAATAAACTGATTGGAGAAGGTTACTATCTGGTAGTCATGATAAACTGGGTACATCAATGAAGCCATGTCGGTGAAGGTAGAACATAATATAGTACAAAATCTGTATAGCCGGTATAACCGCCTTTCGGTGTAACACACCAGCTTTGCAGGCACGCGGCGCGGCATCAGCTGGCTATATTACACCGATCAACTTGTTACACCTAACCCTTGAACTTCTAACTCCAGACATTGTTTAAAGCTGTCTAATGACAATGCCCCTACTGTACTTGGTAACAGTGAGTTCCACTCTGCAATAGTTCTAGGAAAGAATGAATTCTTGAACACCTCAATCCTTGGTTGATAACTCTGGTACTTGAAGGCATGGCTATTTCTTGTTCTCTTCTGGGCTGGTACTATTAGGTACTTAGTAGTTGGAACATCCACCAGTTTTTTTTAGTCATTTTGTACATCATGCATAGTACAAATTAAAATGAATCAAGCAACTGGATAAAATCTTTGAAGTGTCCAACATTTCAGATAGCATCTACTATCTTATAACAATTATGATGAATGGGACTTCAGATCTTTCAATTATGGTAAACCGGATATGTTGATGAAGCTTTGACATTTAGATAGAACATTACATAGTACAAAAGAAATCAAAGCAACTGGAAGAATTTCTGATGTCCTTCAACAATTGTGATAAGTATGTCATTGAAGGTATGTCTTTGAAGTGTCAGATGTTTCAGATAGCATCCACTATCTTTTATGAGCCACTATCTGTATTTTTATCTACATGTATCTATAACCACTCTTTACTGTAACACACCAGCTTCACTATCTATGTTGATAATAATATACACAAGGTAATCTACGACGATTCTCCCTTTGATAAAATAGTTTTGATATTCTTCGGCCCACACCAATTTTTATTCTTGAAGTTTTTTTCTCAGATATGAAAACATAGTATTAGGCCACACCAATTTAATTTCTTGGTTAACGGATCTTTATAGAAAAATAATGGAGCGGGCGGGCGAAAAAAAAAATAAAATAAAAACAGGCCTAGGCATCCTATTATGGCCCAAAATGGTACGATAGGAGCCATCAAGGCAACACACCAGGCTGGTTCAAAATTTAAACATGAATTTTGAACTTTTAATGATACCAATGCATTGAAAGATGGAATAACTGTAACAAGTAGGTTGAAAAGGACTGTTTTCAATTGTTCAGGGCAAAATACTGTATGAGCATTTTGTAGTTGATTCTGGATTTTTATTTTTATTTGCAAATCAGAAAAAAATGAAGCGGCGAATCCGTTAACCAAGAAATTAAATTGGTGTGGCCCTAGTGGACATCATAAAATCAGAGGGTAGGGAGGACAACTTGAATATCACTGTATTCACTCCATAAAACTTACTGCACCAAGGCATAAACCATGCCCTCAGGCTTCTGTTTTCAATACGTATTACCTGCTAGGCATATTTTTCACGAAATTCAGGAACCAAGACATTAGATTGGTCTGGCCTAACAAAGGCTGACAGCCTGACAGTGATTTTCTGTAATTTGTGTAAGGACTAAGTGGGAAAAAAAATTGACTGAAGATCAAGCTATCAGCATTGTTGCCCATCCTCTAACCCCTTGGCGTTCGCAACCAGCAGGGAGTACTGTAATTCCCTTTGTCTATACGGCAGCAGAAATTTCACGGTCCATAGAAAATTGCCTTCTTCACGTAACTTAAAATGTCTTCATCTTCACTGTGGCAGGAAAGAGAGAAAGAAAGGGGACCAAGAGACAAACAATTTGTTAACGGTAATGATAAAGTAACAGAAGTGACGTGGACATAAAAGTACCGTAAAAAAATTAGGAATTACCGTACCCGCCCGACCCATTTATTGTACCCTGGGAGCAAATAATCCGGTCTGGCTAATATCCGACCGGCGCTTTGAAGTGGAAATAGCGATTTTTCAGCGTGATCTCGGAGGACAGTAGACGACTGATGGCTGAGATATAACGTAATGAACGGCTCGCCGTTTGCCGAATTATGGGTGCTTATTGCAGGAACGTTGTAGGACGCGTCGCTGTTCAATTTTCAGTTCGTCTCGGGTGACGTTACGTAGGTGTGTGTACGCCAGACGAACGGAAGTAACCCTCTGCCTAAGTCTTAGATGTCTCCGCGTGACATGTGAGCGTTTTACTCATTATGCATAACGGCCCTGCTTCTGACAGACTTGCACGTGGATTTCAGGTAAACGTGTGCTGCTGTTAAACCCTCCAGCTATTAACTGATTGTCATCGGATACTTTGTGATAATGAGGATAACTACTGCATCAGTCAACTGCAGTAACCAATTATCTTTCAGGTGTACACGGCTGTGCAGACTTGAAAGAATTAGCCGCTCGTTTCCTGTACATAGTATTTTCCCTGTTCATGTATTAGAAGCTGATCTAACTGTACTTACTTGTCCTCTTCGTCCCTTGTGAGACAAAAGACAATGACTTTTTCTTTTCCATCTGGGTCTGTCCTTGGCCAATGTTTTTGCTGACCGCCAGGATAATCCCAGGGACAACAGTTCATCAGTCATGTAGTTCTTCTCCAAGTGGTTTTGGGTTAGCCCGTCTATCTTTTCCCAACAGGTCTCTAGACTCGAGCTACCAGGCTTCGGGAGGCGGCTAGAAAGAGTAGAAATCGGCTAAATAGAGAGATAACATGCTAGGGGACTTTGCCTGCTGTGGTGCGGCGAAATGTTCTCTCCCAGCAGACAAACTCCCCTGGCATGTTATCTCTCTATTTGGCCGATTTCTACTCTTTCCAGCTGCCTCCCGAAGCCTGGTAGAGGCTAACAGGTCTCCAATCTAAGGCTGTTTTACGTACATGTATAATTCTATTCTAGGTACTAAGCTGATCTTGTTTTTTTTTAATTGCTCCAGGTTTCTGTGACGGGGTCTGGCAAAGATCATTAGTGTTGGTGACTCATTGACAGTCCAGATCAGCGTTTCATTCCGTACTCAACCACAAGCAGTCAACAGAGAGAGATCAGGTAAATTTTGGTTCACCAAGTTCGTATAATTACTTCCAACAAGTTGCACGTAGCGCGGTGGAATAAAAGCGCTCAACCAGCAAGGAACCCAATTATTCCTCGAGAAAAGGCTCGGATTTCTATTTGTCTTGTGCAGAATTGGTGTCACATTGTACTTTTGTTAAACCAGCAAAGAAAATAACTGTAGAAAGTAATGTTACATGAATGTAAACCATGTTATCCCTGTTGAGGCCACAGCAAGACAGTTTTTATGGATGACATCAGCACGGGCATTAATTTTGGGGAAAAAACAAGAAATTTTGTTGCCCTCTGACAGTGGTCAACATGCCTAAAATGGGCAAATGTGTGTTGCCATGCTGGAACATGGATGGCAGATAAATCTGAAGACAAGACAAGGCCCAGCTTTAACGTTTTGTCTTTTACTTTGATGCAGTGATGCTTTTCAATTCTTTTATATGTGATGTTCCCACTGAATCAAAAACCATTTGTACAATGATTGAAAAGTTTTATTCTTCAAAGTTGTTTCAGTGAGAAATAAATGTTGTAATAGTTGGCAGTAAACTTAGCACAAGATAGGTGTCATTTCTTGTTTAACAAGGTTTATGATAGCCTTACTTGAAAAACACAAAAATTTCATGCTCTTTTTGTTTTCAGATTCAATCTGTAATAAGTTGCCTAATTTTGAATATAAAAGGCCTCAACACCATAAAAAAAACATTAAAAAAAACAATCAAGCTGCTAAACATTTAACAGTATGTTGTACATGTATAGCATTTACAGTACCAAGGACAGGGTTTGAAAACAGCACAGTGCCCCCCTCCCCCCGGTGCTATGCATCCTGGGAATGGAAAAAGGGTGAAGGATATTGTTATGATGATGATCATTGGTGTGGGGGTGGTTACTTTCCATATAAAAGGCCTCAACATCATAAAATAACATTAAAACAACAATCAAGCTGCTAAACATTTAACTGTATGTTGTACAGCATTTCAGTACCAAGGACAGGGTTTGAAAACAGCACAATGCCCCCCTCCCCCCGGTGCTATGCATCTTGGGAATGGGAAAAGGGTGAAGGATATTGTCATGATGATGATGATCATTGGTGTGGGGGTGGTTACTTACCATATAAAAGGCCTCAACATCATAAAAAACATTAAAACAACAATCAAGCTGCTAAACATTTAACTGTATGTTGTACAGCATTTCAGTACCAAGGACAAGGTTTGAACAGCACAGTGCCCCCCTCCCCCCAGTGCTATGCATCCTGGGAATGGGAAAAGGGTGAAGGCTATTGTTATGATGATAATGATCATTGATGTGGGGTTGGTTACTTACAATATACCAGGGCTCAAAATTAATTTCTTCTTTCAGCTAAGAAAAATGACAGAATGTTAAAAATGATATTCCGCTTTTTCCTTTAAGTTAGTAAAGTTGAATTTATCCTTCGGCTCTTTGAAAGCTCTCGCTGGTATATATTTAACCACCGGGTCTTTGAGGCCCTCAAGCCTCCAAGGTATAGCAGTATTTTTAGATGAAAGTTTGATATAGAATGCATTTTTAAGGGACCTAAGGCCACACTGACTTTGTACGGATGACATCCTCTGAAGACCCCCCAAACTAGTGCGCGCAGGCGAATGAAAAAATTCCGGCTCAAAATAAAAGTGCTACTAAACCACAGGAATACAAAGCTGGTTCATGTTTGTATTGTGAATTTGCGGGAGTACATAGGGACGTATAAGACAAGCCGGCAAATGCTGGCCTTTCACGGAATTTATGAATCGGCACTGTATGTACATGTATGTACTGATCATGAGTTCTTGAGTCATGGAGCTTCGGCAGCCTGGGTGCTGTCCTCCATAGTTACCATTTTGAGGGGCAGATTTTCTTGCTAGACCAAGCTTAGTTCAATGACATCTCATTCAATATCTTTACACACCAATTTTCCCTCCAAGATGACGTATTGGGCAACATTTTTGTCTGTTACGAGCATGAATATTCTGACAGAAGGACGGAGGCTGACTAGATCTGTATCTGTATCAGTATAGCCGGTATAACCACCCTAACACACAAGCTTTGCAGGCACGCGAAGTAGCGGCAGCTAGCTATATCACACCGAACGACTTGTTACATGTACACTCAATCTTTGCACATTAAGTTGCAGGAGTTGTTTAAAGCTCTCTAGTGATGATGCCCCAACTGTGCTTGGTGGCAACGAGTTCCAGTCTACGATAGTTCTGGGGAAATACGAGATCACTGGAAGATAGAATGTAAAATTGTGAAATATTTGTGTCTCGCATTTACTACGGTTGTTTCGTTACCCTTTCCCTCCTACCACGAAATGAACTCCAGTGAACGATTAACAAAATGTATAGTAGGCTCTTAAAGATTTTCAAGTTGATCCGTGCCTAGAGGTACATGCAAAAATACAAATGTCTGGCTTTACATTCATGGTTATGCGATCATATCATATTTCCAGTATATAGCACTGCAGATTAAAGTCTATCCAGCTGAAATGTCTCCGGGATTTTCCGCTAAGACGTGATGTATGTTTCCTTACAACGTTGTTAGCAGTAACGTTCTATCATAATCTTTCTCGTGTACCCAGAACGCTTAATCATAGTTGTGCAAGTGCAACTGTACACGTACATGTCGTTAATTCAGTCTTAATTTGGTAACAGACAGGAAATAATGGGCTTGCTTAGAGCTTTCCTAGGAAGGAAAATATAATTGAAGCAACAAAGAATGGGTATGGGATATCCATGTAAGAACAAGACTTTCTTAAACATATATTATATATAACAGGGTAAGGCCACACCAATTTAATTTCTTGGTTAACGGATTTTTCTAGAAAAATAATGGAGCGGGCGGGCGAAAAATAAAAAAAAAATAAAAACAGGCCTAGGGATCCTATTATGGCCCAAAATGGTACGATAGGAGCCATGAAGTCAACACACCAGACTGGTTCAAAATTTATACAATGAATTTTGAACTTTTAATGATACCACTGTAATGAAAGATGGAACAAGGAGAAGTCGTAGACATCATCCCTCCATGAAATAGCTTGTTATTTTGTAATCTTTTGGTGTATTTCAATAGAGATATTATGAGTCAAACTTTGTTTTTATCAGCAGAATGATTTGTGGTGGCACTTTGTATTTATCAAGCTGTCATGTGCAGGCGTTTAGTGTCTTGTTACCATGGTTTGTTTACTTTGATGGCCAGCAGGTCATTTGCCTTAGCCTGGGTACCATCCCCAGTAGTATATTCGCAAACTCTATAACTGTTATAGAGTTTGCGAATAGTTTGCGAATATACTACTGGGGATGGTACCCAGGCTACATTTGCCTGTACATGTAGGTCAATGACCAGCAGACAGGCAAATGACCTGCAGACCAGACAAACAAGATTTATTTTCCTGCAGACTCTGTCTGGGGGTAAAAATAGATAGGGCTGCCTGGGTCTGACCTGCCAGCTGGAGGTATAAACAAAAACACTCTGTTCCAACTTTTGGGCCAAACAGACCATCCTATTATGACGTAGGGGTGAAAAAGTGAAAATCCTTTTAAATTAAGCAATAAAAATATGCGACAACCTGCTAATGCACTCCAAAACATAAAAAGACTCAACAACTACCCACATACCAAAAATCATACCAAACCATCCCCCAGATTTTCCAAACATTCAACACAAAAAGTCCAACATTAAACATTTTGTAAATATCAAACGCAAACAGCTAGGGGACCCAAATTTAAACCACTAAACCATGGTAATAACAACTACATGCTACCTTAATATCGCACAAACAGTCCATAACGCGAAAACAACAGAATAGAAAAATTAAACTGCAGTACCAAGGTCAATCACCAGGGGCTCAAAGTCAACCTACACAATCTCCAAGGCCCCATCCATCAATCTGCCAAATATCGTACTGTTCCTTCTCACCGATCTTCAGATATCAGACCAAACATGAAACGGAGTAAAAACAGTACCCCCATTTTCATGGAGGGTAATAACTGTAACAACTAGGAAGAAAAGTACTGTTTTCAACTGTTCAGGGCAAAATATGAGCATTTTGCAGTTGATTCTGAATTTTTATTTTTATTTTCAAATCAGAAAAAAATGAAGCGGGCGAATCCGTTAACCAAGAAATTAAATTGGTGTGGCCTAAGCTTTAATTTATGAAAAGAAGGAAAATTCAACTGACTTGCTCTGGTCTGACATGCTGAAAACAGCCTACTAAATTCTCTCTCAGGTGATCCTCCGGGTTTTTCTTTAGACTCACGCAATATCTTTTCTTGATGTTCTTTTATGCTAGCCTGGGTGCCATCCCCAGTAGTATATTCGCCAGCTCTATAACTGGGTCTGGACTTGATCACATATAAAACGATTGGTGATGACGTCACGTAATGAGCTAGCCCGAGCAGCGGGGCTTCATTTGATTGGCTGAGCCTCAGAGGCGACGGCCAATGGCGCGCCTGCATTATTCAAGTGATGTTTGTTGTTTTGTAAACACAGATCTTCGCGCGAGTGTTCCTTTTCTCGGTGCGTTCTTTTTACCGGTAGGACGCCCAAAACATCACGAACGAAATTATTCAATGCATCTTTTTGCTCATTTTTGAGCGACCATATTCCGTCTAAATCGTCCAAAACGGACGTGATTGCGAGGTCAACATCAACCTCCGTGAACTGAGTGGCTTGTGCGTCAGCCATGTTGATGATTTATCGCGGAAAGACTGACTACGGCTATATCATGTGTGCTTTTGCGTTCGGTTCGCCGTCGGACATGTTGATGATAAGGCGTTCGGATGTTCGAACGGACGCTAAAGTTGCCGTTCTGACGTCCGAACGCCCCTTACCTAATATGTACATACCCCAAAAAGGGCTTAGACGAGTAGGACCAATCAGTGTGCTTGTTCAAAATCTGAACGAATATTCAGACTCCAGACGCTACATATGTGTTCAAGTCCAGACCCAGTTATAGAGCGTGCGAATACTACTGG